CTGCTCACGCCTGCTCTGTTGAGCATTTGGCGTGGGGCAGTGGGGAGTTCCAGCCCATTTTCTCCATGCCCCTGGTGTGTTTCTACCTAAGTTCATGTGGTGTAGCCCAGGAATGGAACATCACGTTCAGCTTTGACCTCTGACTGATACAATTTGTCTTCCTCTCCCTTCTATCATTTAAGCATATAAATATTTCCTTGTTTATAGATATTTTGGCAACCACAGATGATCAGTCTGTCTCAAGGCTTGCACAGTCATAGGAAACCAGGCATGTATTGTGTTATAATATGTGCTGTTGATGCTCTGAGACAACCCCTGAGCTTTGGTAGCCTATTGTGGAATCAAACTATACATTGACTCAGAGGAGAGGCTGAAGAGAGAATAAAATTGGACAGGCACTCTGGCATGGGGGATGGATGAAATTCAATTTTTAAATATAGAACAGATCCTGATATTTTGGGAACAGAAAATATATAAGTCATCACACTTAAATTTATTATAAATTCAAGAACTTACTTCTTAATCTATTACCAAATTGGCTCTGCCTTATGTTTTCTTGGAATGGTGACATTGTCACAGATTTATAATCCAGTGACCAAAAGGTATTTTGAAAGTTTGCTTAAAACTGTAAATGGAGTGGGGGTGGGGTGGGACGACTTGCTTTAATGATTTTTGACAGAAAATTTACAAATTAAAAAAGGTCTGTTAAAAATCTCAGCTTTAGGGCCTCCGCGGTGGTGCAGGTGGTTGAGCGCAGCACTATGACGCTGTTTGCAGCCTCTGCAGCGTGGGTTTGATTCCTGGCTGGCCAGAGAGCTACCCACATGGTGCGGCAGACCTCTCCTGCCTTGCCTGATGCTCCCCTCAGCAGTGTGTTTCAGTCAGTCTGCCTGTTTTGCTCCCAGCTCTGTCTCTGGTGAATCCTCTCACCCTCCTACACATCCGGCCTGTACCCTGGTTCTTGTATAAATAAATAATTTTTTTTTAAATTCCAGCTTTATTTTTTTCTTTTATAGGTTTATAGTTATTTATTTAACTTTTTTGAAGATTTATTTATGCATACAAGAACTGGGGTACAGGTCAGAGATGCTGGGGTGAGAGGATTCACCAGAGACAGAGTGGGGAACAGAACAGGCAAACTGACTGAAATACACTGCTGAGGGGAGCAGCGGGTGAGACAAGAGAGGTCTGGTGCATCTTGTGGTAGCTCTCTGAATGGCCAGGGATCAAACTCGTGCTTCAGTGGCTGTTGCAGTTAACTTCATAGTGCTGTGTTTAACTCCTTAGGCAACCAGGGAGGCCCCTAGTCATTCATTTAAAAATTTTTTATTAACATAACCTTGAACATAGAGTTTTTTTCCCTTCCAATTATATTTATTGAGGTAAAGTTGGTTTATTCTATTGTATTTGTTTTAGGGCTCATAGTTTCAAATCTCTATTAAATGTATGTTTTCACATCTTGCCTACCACCAATGCCCGAATAATCCTCCAGCATGCTCCATTGAGCACCTTCCCTCCCCTGCTTCTACCCCCTCCCCTCCCCTCTTGTTTCAATTTTTCAGTCAGATGTCAAGGGTTATTTGTTTGATTTTGAAGGTCACGTTAATTTAGTACTTAAGCAACTCCAAGCATCACTCCTCTTGGAATGAATAGGAAGATTTTATTTTATATATATATATATGTATATGTATGTATGTGTATATATATATACACACTTATATATGTGTGTGTATTTAGTATATGTATTTATATATAATATGTATTTTATGTAAATGTATACATACGTATGATGGGTATTATATGTCCAGCAGTAGCTAAAATTTGACAGGAAAGAAAAATCCAGAGAAATAAACTTGGGTCAGTAGATGAGGTTGAGAGTGACTTTATTTCAATAGGCTGACCCATAAGACTAAAGAAATCAGCCAGTGATAGAAGGATGTACTCCCTGGCCCTCTCCTCTGTGATACAAGCAGCCTGCCTTCCCTGTCATCTGGATGATGCATGTGTAGGGCAGGATGGGCACAGAGCAGGTTTTCTATGATCCGAGAACACGGACCTGGTAAAGGAGAGTCCTGGAGCCCACAGCAGCTTTCTCAGGCTTTTACTGAGCTTTTGCATGTAGTACAGCAACCAGGTACATGGCAGGCAGTGGTGCTGGGGTCCAGGAGACCAGCAGTCCTCCAGGCCCCCAGCAACTCTTCACTCTGGGCTTCTCAGGCCTTCTTTCCCCCTTCTCTCTCTTTCTTCTGCTTCTCTTGGCAATTATATCAATACTGCCGCCAAGGCCCACCGGAAGTAAATAATATAGCCATGTAACAAAATTCAGGGGCCCCATCAGGCAGGGCAATCCTACTGGCAGGAGGGCAGAAAAGCCTGAAAATCATTTACCCTACAAATGCTTGTGCCGGAGACTAGCAAGTATATTTTGCCCAAAAGGGAGTTTTAGTTCCAGGTATTTTAGAAGAGGTGGTATTTGCTCTCAGAGCAGATGCTTCTGGAGGCAGGAAACACTGCAGCAGGGAGAAATGAGTGAGTGGAGCAAAGTGATAAAAGCAGTGATGAATGCTTAATGATAATGGCTATCCCATGTGTAGGGTAAAGAAAATATCAGGCTTTTCTGCCCTTCCGCCATCAGGATAGATGATGGATCCTTGTCCTGAATGCATGCCTGATGGTGGGCACCTGGAATAGGGTGTGGGCATAGGTAGATGGGATTCAGCTGAGCTAAGACTGTGTTTTTAAGGGCGGCGTCACGGGGGGACGCCAGCAGCAGCAGCAGCAGCAGCAGAAGCCAAAGCAGAGAAAGCAGCAGTAGAAGCCGAAGGAGAAGCTGAAGCAGAAGCCGAGAAGCAGCAGAACGAACGCCAGAGAGTCCAGAAAGAGTGAAGACTTGCTGGGGGCTGGGAGGCCTGCCAGCCTCCCAGCCAGTACCCCTGCCTGCCATATGCCTGGTGAACCTGAATAAAAAACCTGCAAAACTACTGAGGACTCTGACTCCTCCTTTACCTGGTCTGCATGGGATCAGAAAACCTGCACTGTGCCCGTTCCTGCCTTTACACCATGGAACCCTAAAAGGGTGGGTATTTTTCACTGGAGGAAGTATAAAGGAAAGACAAAGAAACATTTGAGGAAGTGAAACATTGCCACTTATCCCTGACTCTGGAAATGAAGGAAGGTTAGTGATTATGAGAGACCCAACTCAAAATTGCCAAACTCAAACTGGCCCCATCAACTTCCTAAGCAGTATTGGAAGAACTCTGTTTTGGCTTCTCCATTAACTCTTTCCATCCGTATTCCTCAGAATTGCTTCATCCTCTAGGATGAGAAAAGTTACTCCTGTGATGTGAATGATTATGTTTTGGAGCTGGAAGCTACACACCAGAAGAACTAGGTGCCAAGGGCTGAGCATGTTTTCAGCATTTCCTAAATACTTTTTTAGAGTTCACAGCAATGAACACCTGACCATAGGAGGAAATAACCCAGATTGCAAAAGTAGCGGAGAGGCAAGTTGTGACAATGAGGGGGGATTTCTGCTACACTGAGGCCTGGAGTCATCCACGCTAAAAGCTGAAGTCTGGTGGGCCTCCCAGGTGGCGCAGCGGTTGAGCGCTGGGTTGCGAAGATGCCCGCAGCCTCTGCGGCGCCGGTTCGATCCCCTTCAGCTCCCCGGCCACCGGAGGAGGGTCCCACATGGCGCGCAGACCTCTCCTGCCACCCGCTGCTCCCCTTGGCAGTGTACTTCAGTCCTTCTGCCTGCTCTGCTCCCCGCTCTGGCTCTGGTGAATTCTCTCACCCTCCCGCGCTTCTGACTGTACCCAGTGCTTGTATAAACAAAACAAACAAATAAATAAATAAAACATGCCTCTATAAAAAAAATAAAATAAAAGCTGAAGTCTGGTAAATTCTGACCACCTGACTGGACACTGACTCTCTCCAAAGGCACAAATCTATGAGAACTTCCACCCTGAATGAATTGTGAAGAGCAAGTGAGAACAGATTGGTGAAGGAGAGAGAAGGAGATGCATAGAGGAAGAGCACAAATATTTCCTAAATCCCCACCGTGTACCAGATATCACCCAAGGCACTTTAAATACATTATCTCATTTATTTATCTTAATGACTCTGGGAGATGTAAGGTTATCTCTGTGAGGTCATGGGTGCTGATCTCCATTTAGCCACAGAGAGATTAAGGTATTGGCCTAAAGTTACCCGGTTAGTTTGCACAGGTGCAGGCTTTGAGAAAATTCTGACACAGAGTTCAGACCTCTTCTACCACCACGTTGCTTCTGTGAGAACCTTGAGAAAAACATTCATGTCCCCTAGACTTGGGCAGACATTTCAGAAAGAGTTCAATGAAAGGTGGGTGTAAGTCTATGACTTCAACTATGAAATAAAAGTGACTTAAAATATTTGGTGACTAATGATCTTGCTAATGTCCCAGCCTAAGTAAAGCTGGAGATGGCATCATAATTGTTGATAGAATTCTCAAGATACTCAGCTCAGATGTCAGAAAGGCACATAGGAAAAGAGAAGAACTCAGAAGTAAGGAGTAGTATATATATTACTCAATAAACTATGGTTTTCTTTGTGTAAGGTAAATTGTTTTTCAGGTTTTTCTGCCCTCCCACCATTGCCCTGCCTGATGGGGCACCTGCAGTTGTTACATTGTTGCAAACTGTCTTGTTTGCTTCTGTGGGCCACCGGCGGAGTATTGAGAGAGAGTCAGGAGAGAAGAGAAGCAGAAAAGAAGCAGAAGCAGAAGAGGCAGGAGAGAGAAGTTCAGAGAAGCTCAGAGTGAAGACTTGCCTAGGTCCTGGAGGCCGTGTACCTGGTTGCTGAACTTTATGTAAAGCTCACTAAAAGCCTGAGAAATCCACCGAGGGCTCCAAGACTCTCCTTTACCTGTCTCCCTGGTTGGAAAACTGCTCAGTGTCCATCCTGCCACTACACTTCGTGAGTTATTATTTTGTTTGTCAATAATTTTAGTTTTAGTTTTCACTTTGGTAAAATGTATGATGACAAAATTTACCATCTTGACCATTTTTTAAAACATTTATTTTTATTTATTTATGGATGCAAGAACTGGGATGTAGGCCAGAGGCATGGATTCACCAGAGACACAGTGGGTAGCAGAACAGGCAGATTTACTGAAATACACTGCTGAGGGGAGCAGTGGGTGAGGCAGGAGAGGTCTGCTGTCAAACCCATGTGGGTTTGATCCCTGGCTAGGGTTTGAACTTATGCCTTGGTGGCTGGTGATAGCTTGGATAGTGCTCTCACTTTTAAATTAAGGTTTCAGATGATTTAAAACTGAGAGGGAAGACTGAAACAACTGGATATCAGATTTAGGGTTTGAAAGGAACTTGATGGATTAGAAATCAAGAAAGAAAACTATGGCTAATATAAAGTCTTGTTAACTCAAAACGAGTGAAGAATATGAAGGAGTTCTAAAGTCTTGACTGTCATCTTTGATTGCATTAGTGAAATAAAGTACTGAGAATAGAAGAGTTAATAGCCTCTCTTTTCTGCTCAGGTTAGATTGCACTGCGCAAAGGGTGTTCAGCTCTGGGCACACACTCCACAAAGGACAATGGCAATCCGGAGCATGGTCAAGAAAGAATAAGAAGGATGGGGAATGAGCAACAGTTAAAGGACCTAAAAAAGTTTGACCTGGAGAAGAGGAAATAGGGAGGAATGGATTATCTTTTGTATAATCCTAGAAGGTAAAGTCAGGTCCAGCTAGATAGATTTGGAGCTATTTTTTTAGGCAAAAAAAGATTACAATAATTACAAATATTCAGTCTTAAAAGTGGCTGCCCCACTGTATGATTCCTCTCACTCTTCTTCAAATACAGGTTGGAAACTCTTTAGTTGAGGATGAAAAGGAAAAAGGACAAGAGATTCTTTCCTTATAGTTACGTCATCCCAGGTGGGTGGTCTTCTGGCTTTTTCCTGAACACTTCTTAGGAATTATGATAATGAGACCTAAACATTTGCATAAAAACATCATTACATATTATTATTCTCACGTTTTAGGTTACTACACATCTTAGCTAGTTGCTATTATCTTCAGAATTTGGACCTGTCCCTTTTGATTTATCCCTTGGATTGAATTGAAGGTCAGTTCCCCTCTTCATTGCCTGTCCCAGCTCTTGGCCAAAATGCAGAGAAGCCAACCTACTTTGTCTATCCCCACAAACAACAATAAAACAGATATTCTCTATCTTTACTCTGTAAAGATGTCAGCAAAGTATGAATTTGACTCATCTGTCTGATTGATAACTTGAGAGTGTGGTAAAACACATGACCATTTTCATGGATCATTGCTGTATAGTGTTCTACCCTGACTTATGACATAGCCTTTTAGTATAGGCATAGCAGTACAGTCAAGTTTTCTCATCTATGTTTTCTCATAGATGGAGGCAATGCAAGTGTGACTGATGCATATTTTACCTAGTGTGTTCCACTGGCAAGCAGTCATGTTCTTTACTTGCTACTAAAAAGTCTAAGAAAACAGGGAGATAAGAAATCATATTTGAGAAATGTTTGAGAGAAGATTTGGGGGTGAATGGAGATCGCTGGTGGTGTAGGGGTTAAAGTCTCCACACTATCAAGCTATCAGCAGCCCCTGCGGCTAGCCTAAGTTCAATCCCCATCCGGGAAGCTATTCACGTGGCGCAGCAGACATCTCCTGTCTTGCCAACTGCTCCCCTCAGCAGTGTATTTCAGTCAATCTGCCTGTTCTGCTCCCCACTCTGTCTTTGGTGAATCCTCTGACCTCCTCTTACCTCTGGCCTACACCCCAGTACTAGTATGCATAAATAAATAAATACAAGTCAATCTTTAAAAAATTTTTTTGACAATTTTTGCTAAATTTCATCTTTTCAATTATTCTGAAATAACCGCTTTCCCTACTCCTTGAGAAATTTTACATTGGAATTGTTTTCTGTAGGTTGAATTTATGACACACATATTCTAGAGCTTTGGGATTGCCTCTTCAGGGTCCAAGAAGTAGAAGAGAGTATAAAGCTTTTGATCTGAGCAACACAAAGGGAGATACGAGAAAAGAAGCTTTAGGATCTCACAGACTGTGTGACAGCACTTCCAGAGTTCTGGCTGCTTTTCTCTTCTTGGAGTTCTTAAGATATCTCTGTTCTTATAATAAATTCTCCTTTCTTGACAATAGAAAGAAAAAGTAAAAGAAAAACTAAAATGAAGTCTGGTCATTATCTAAATACTTTTCAGTCTCCTACTTCTATGAAATCTTCTCTGATCACTATAGCCTACTTCACGGTATCTTCTCAAATTCCTGTAAATATTTATTATCTCCTCCCCTGACGTAACTCTTATCATAGACTGCTTGTGTTGTAAGTTATATTTATATTCCCAAGTAGATTACACTTAACTGGAGAGCAAGAGGTTATGTTTTTTTACTGCTTTCACTCTTCACTACACCAAGTAAGCTTATGGTTGACAGATCCTCAAAGAATATTCATTGATTTGATGAGATGATCCATGTTTGGCAGTTCAAACTCACCTAGTTGTAACTGAAGTCACCTTGATGTGTTATAAAACAATAGAGATTAATCACATAGAAAATAAAAATTAGAGCACTTAATGAAACAACTCAAGGGGAATCCTAGATTATGTATGAGTGTAGAAACAGTTTGAAAACACCCTAACACTCAAAAAGTGGACAAGCCTGGATTAGCCACTCCAAGAAGTGTAGAATGTTGGATCAACTTAACAAATGTAATTAGTTGGTGACTCACTGGTGGATACTGTATAATTTGCCTATTCAGTTGCCTAATTTTCATGTGTTGAAAACTATCTTTGCCTTTCCCCACTTACATCACCCAGTAAAACAAAGAACTTCTGTACAAGTACAGGTTTGGGGAAGTCTGACTTTTTCATTCTGTGAAAAAGATCTGGGGACTTTAATTGATGTTGCCTTAATTTCTTTAAAAAGTTAGTGCATACTTGGACAAAATTAAGCAAAGAATCACATTAATTTAGAATCGGACATTTTGGTTATCTACAAGTCCAAATTCCTGCATGGTTTTGGATGTTTGCCATCTTGAGTCCCCAGTCTCCTTTAACTCCATTAGTGTAGCACAGGTCAGTTAGGAATTCTTTAGCATTTTAAGCCTTTGTCTATTATCTATTTTCCTGGCACTTCCACCTGTGGAGCTTAATTCTACCTGTTGAGCCATACAAATTGTCTCACTTTCCTTCATCATAATGTAAAGGCAAATATTATCCCCTCCTCTACTTCCAAGTGTATACTTAACATCTCCCTAGTTCTTTCCCTTTTTAAAAGACTGTATCTTAGAGCAACTTTAGGTTTGCAACAAAATTGAGAGGAAGGTAGCAATATTGTCTTATGTACCTCTTTTTCTATACACGAAAAGCCTTCCCTATTAAGTAATGTCACTCATCAGAATAATACTTTTTTTTCAATCAGAATGAGCCTACATTGACACACCATAATCACCCAAAGTCCATTGGTTACAATATAATTCATTTTTTGGTATTTTATATTCTCTGTGTTTATACAAATGTGTAGGAAGATGTAGCCAACAGTGTAGTATCGGAGAGTATTTCTTTTCACTGACCTAAAAATCCTCTGTCCTCTGCTTTTTCATCTTTCCTCCACCCTCCATGCCCCAGCAAGTACCATCATCTTACTATCTCCGTGTTTTTTGCCTCTTCCAGAATGTCACACAGTGGGTATCGTATGTTATATAAGCTTTCAGAATGACTTCTTTGTTTTATTAATATATATATTTAAGATTATTTGCTGTTTTTCTTCATAGATGGATAGGATATTTGTTTTCAGCATCAGACTTTTTTGTCTGGATGTACCACAATTTATCCATTTACCTAATAGGGCATCTTGGTTACTCCCAAGTTTTGGCAATTATGAACAAAGCTTAAAAAACTAAAAATATTCTTATCATATGATCCAGCAATTGATCTCTTTAGTATTTACCCAAAAGAGTTGAAAACTTATGTCCACAAAAACCAGCACGTAAGTTTATAACTCTTATGTTTAAATACCAAGGGGAGAAATTGCTGGATCATGTGATAAGAATATTTTTAGTTTTGTAAGAAACCACCAAATTTCCAAAGTGGCTATAACATTTTACATCCCCACCAACAATATATGTTCTTGTTTTTCCACATCCTTGCCAGCATTTGCTGTTGTCAGTGTTCTAGATTTTGGCCACTCTTACAGGTATGTATTGATACCACAGTTGCCTTAACCCTTCTAAGTTTTCAGATCTTTCACTGTTCTGCTCTTCCTAGAAAGCTCTATTTTACTATAGAAACTGAGGTTCAAAACAATAAAATTATATGTTTGAACTCAGACAGTAAAGAACAAATGGAAATTTCAACTCTATATAATAATATATCATCATTGTTTGCAAATGACTGACTGAAAATGCAGTGTCTTCTTTACTGTGAATAATGCTGTGCCATAAAACATCAAGAGACACAGGGATTCTGAGAAGAGTGAGCAATGATTTCTAAGATTTTTGACATGCCTGATTTTTTTTTTTAAGATTTATTTATTTATACAAGAACCGGGGTACAGGCCAGATGCACAGGAGGGTGAGAGGATTCACCAGAGACAGAGCGGGGAACAGAACAGGCAGACTGATGAAATACACTGCTGGGGGGAGCAGCAGGCGAGACAGGAGAGGTCTGCTGTGCCACGTGGGACCCTCACCGGCTGGCCGGGATGGAACCGCTTCACAGTGCGGCGCTCAACTGCCTGCACCACCGTGGAGGCCCAAAACATGCCTGATTTTTTCACGAAAAGGATAGAACAGTTTTGAAGGAAATGGATATTATTTATGTCTTACTTAATGAAAGCAATAGCTTTTGAAGAATATGCTAAGGAAAATAATAAATATGTTTAAATTGAATAGAATAAGTTTTCGCATTTAAGTGCTAAGAATAGGCTGATCTTTTCCAGAGTTAGGAATTCCAAGAAGATAGTGAGCATACTACATTTTTTCATATCAGATATGTATTAGATGGTCATACACATTTCCTTTGTACTTGAACTTATCTTTCTTAGGAATATATAAACATACCTAGTCCTGAGAAATAGCTTGGTACTGTCCTTTGTATTTGTCCAAACCAGTGAAAGATGTATGATCTATGTTTGTAATTATTGTAAATGGGAAGGTTCATGAATTGCTGAGTCAACTTTACGAATGTCCTGGAAATGAGCGGTCCTGATTTGACTGTGATTTCTCCCTGAGGTCAGTTTGAGGTTACTATATTCTGATCTTTATGGCACTTAGTCATGATGGGGATTATAGTTGACCTGGATTTCCCCATTGACATTTCCACTTGATTAGCTCTGAAATATAAAGTATATGAGTTCTGTTTCATTCCAGACATAAGTAGCAGGAAACTTCTGCTTTTCTTCCCAAACATCCTCCATCAAATTTATAGAAGTCAGAAATCCCAGTAGAATCATACAACAGATGTTTCTGGCATGCGATGACCCACAGGCACTATGTGAGCACCAGAACAAGAATTTTTCACAGGTCCCCAGGGTACTATTTAACAAGTCAGAGCCAATTCTTACTAATTCGGGCTAATTGGACAAAGAACAGACTGAATTAATAAAATCTTTAAATCACATTCATAAGAAAATTTTTCATTGAGTTAAATTCTAATTGTAGAACAATTACAAGAAGAATTCAAGATATTCCCATATATCTTTTACTCAGATCCCCAAATTTTTAACATGTTTACCACCTTTGTTTTATTCTATTTGTGCATATTCTTTATTTTTTGAATCATTTTAAGTATTATCCTTTTTAACTTCCCTTTAACCTCATATTTCTTCCTAAGTATTTCCTAAGAATGAGAACATTTCTTACATAATCACAGCAGTGTCATCAAATTGGAGATACTTAATATTGATGCAATTATTTTATCTAATCTCCTACTCATATTTTTTTGATTCTCTCTGTAATATCCCTTATAATATTCCTCCCCTCTTCCTAAGATCCAGTATAGGACCATGGATTGCATTTAGTTGTTTTGGTTTCTTTTAATTTGGAACAGTTTTAGTCTTATCTTTACCTTTCATGACAAAGGTCAACAGTTTCATAGCATGCTTCTCTGCTTTGGATCTGCTGATGTTTCATCCTGTTTAGAGTCAAGTTATGCTTCCCTGATCAGAAAATGACATAATTGATGATGTGTCCTTCTCCGTGCCCCAGTTAGAAGATACCCCTCTTCCCTTCATTCGTGATGTAATTTTCATCACCTGATCAAACTGTGGCCCGTTTTCTCCACTGTAGAGTTTCCAGTTTTTCCCTTATTGCTAAAGCAATCTGTGGGGGAACTCTTTAGAGCCATACAAATATCCTTTGCTAGGATGTTTGTAAAACAATAATTTTCAGATCCAGTCACTTTCAGTAGATCCTCATTTCTACTCTTAA